AAAATACTCCACGAAGACGATATCACTTTTACGGAGGAGGACGCAGACGGATTGCTCTTACCACACAACGACGCACTGGTAATTTCCTTAAATATTTTAGATTTTAAAATTAAACATGTTCTGGTAGATCCAGGAAGTTCGACTAATATCATATAATAGAGAGTATTGGAGCAAGTTAGACTCACTGGAAGCATTATTCCGGCAACAAAGCTCCTTGCTGGATTCAACCTTGCGAGCGTGACGACCTGGGGAGAGATTTTGTTGCTCACAAACGCTGAAGGGTAATGAAAACAACTCTATTTGAAGTAGTAGATGGTGACATGAGATATAACATCATCCTGGGAAGGCCATGGTTACACGATATGAAAGTTGTACCCTCAACATATCACCAATTGCTGAAGTTTTCAATACCCGAAGGAATCAAATAGATAAGAGGTGATCAACCGACAGCAAGGGAGATGAATACAATCTCAGTTTCAAGTAGCAAAGGGAAAGAACGCACGGCATAGCAATTATAGGAACCGGCACCTACTCCCGAGATAGAAGGAGTTAGCCCGAAAGAAGAGTCGTCAGAACAATATCAGGTGCCAAGATATTTCTAAGTTCCAGAAGAGAAGGACGCAACAAAGTCCACGACGGAGGATCTGGAGCAAGTTGCATTGTTCGAGGAATTCCTAGAGAGAAAATTGCATTTGGGGATAGGACTGCACCTGATGCTTAGTTTTGGTTTTATTGAATTCCTTAAATTTAATGCTGATTGTTTTGCATGGTCGCACGAGGATATGACAGGTATCCCGACGGATATAGCCGTGCTTAAGCTGAGTTTGGATCCCAACGTACCTCCGGTAAGGCAGAAGAAATGCCCTATTGCCGAGGCCAGGAATAAATTCGCCAAAAAAGATGTAACCTGCTTACTTAAAATCGGTTCGTTCCGAGAGGTAAGATATCCGGACTGGCTAGCCAATGTAGTAGTAGTTCCTAAGAAGAACAATAAATTTCGCATGTGTAGACTATAAAGACCTTAATAGGGTGTGCCTGAAAGACTCGTTCCCACTGCTAAATATCGATCAAATGATTGATGCCATGGTCGGGCATGAGTTGATGAGTTTCCTCGATGCTTATTCCGGGTACAACCAAATCAATATAGACCCGGAAGATCAGGAAAAAACTTTGTTTATAACGAATTTTGGTACATATTGTTACAATGTAATGCCCTTCGGGTTGAAAAACGTCGGAGCCACTTATCAACGGCTCGTAAATAAGATGTTCGGAAAGAAAATAGGAAAGACTATGGAAGTTTATATAGACGATATGCTCGTTAAGTCTTTGAATGCATCTGACCATCTTAAGTATTTGCAAGAAACATTAGACATCCTGAGGAAGCATAACATGAAACTTAATCCTGAGAAGTGCGTGTTCGAGGTAAGTTCCAGTAAGTTTCTGGGATTTCTGGTCTCACAAAGTGGAACTGAGATAAACCCCGACAAAATCAAGGCCATAGAGGACATCCCGGATCAATTGTCGAACGTAAAGAAAGTCCAAAGGCTCACAGAAAGATTAGCGGCTTTGAGCAAGTTCATTTCTTGGTCATAGGAAAAATGTCATCGCTTCTTCACACTGCTCAGAAAGAAGAATAATTTCGAATGGACACTGGAGTGCCAGCAGGCTCTGAGGATCTGAAGAAGTACTTATCGAGCCCTCCATTGCTCTCAAAAATAAAAGATGATGAAACTTTGCTAGTCTACCTCGCGGTTTCAGAAGTTGCGGTAAGTGCGGTTTTAGTCTAGGAGGACGAAGGTACGCAATTTTCCATTTATTACGTTAGCAAAATTTTAACGGGAACAGAAACTTGCTACCCATATTTGGAAAAATTGGCCTTAGCTCTCGTAGTTGCCGCTCAGAAGCTGAGGCCCTATTTCCAATGTCACCCGATAGATGTGGTGACTACTTTCCCTTTTACTGAACATCCTCCATAAACCCGAGCTCTCGGGCAGATTGGCCAAATGGGTCGACGAAATGAGTGAGTTCGACATAGAATACAAACCAAGGACAACAATTAAGTCACAAGTCTTGGCTGACTTCGTGGCCGATTTCAGTCTGAGACTGCTGCCTCTGGCAACCAAGGAGGCAGTAATGGTGTCAGAATCGACATCGGGGGTCTGGACCTTATTTACGGATGTAACTTCCAATGTAAAGAGGTCTGGAATCGGAATAGTCTTAATCATGACTTCGGGGGAAACCCTAAGGCAAGCCATCAGAATGAATCCTTTAACTAACAATGAAGCAGAGTAAGAAGCTTTGATTGCAGGGCTCGAATTGGCCCGGGGACATGATTCTAAGGTTATCGAAATTAAATGTGACTCACAGCTGGTGGTAAATCAGGTTTACGTGATCTTTGATACCAATGAAGAACGTATGCAACAATACGTGGTAAAGGTCCAGGCTCTTTTGGTGCGATTCCGGGAGTGGTCAATCACTCTCATTCCGAGGGAGGATAACGCAGAAGCGGATGCATTAGCAAACTTAGGATCATCGACGAAAATAAAAGGATCGAAATCCGGGACGATAGTACAATTGATGAGCTCAGTCCTGGATACGGATGGTTACTATGAGGTAAGTTCGACAAGTCTGGTCTGGGACCGGAGAAATGAAATAATCAACTATCTCGAGCACGGGAAGTTGCCTGAAGACCCTAAAGCATCACGGGCGTTACGCGCCAAAGCTGCACGATATAGCTTCAAGAGAGGCCAATTGTATAGAAAATCCTTCCAAGGCCCGCTGGCCCGATGCTTAGGAGCGTCAGAAGCTAATTATGTCATGAGGGAAGTCCACGAAGGGATATGCGGCAATCACTCGAGCGCATATTCTTTGGTGCTGAAGTTGGTACAAGCAGGATATTACTGGCCCCGCATGGAACAAGACACCAAAAACTTCGGACCAAAATGAGATAAGTGCCAATGCTACGCACCACTAGTACACCAACCGACAGAACCCTTACATTCGGTTCTATCCCCATGGTCGTTTATTAAATGGGGGATGGACATTGTCGGACCGCTGACACCGGCTCCCAAACATGTAAGGTTTCTTTTAATTTTGACTAACTATTTTTCTAAATGGGTGGAGGCAGGTCCTTATCAGAAGATTGGAGAACGTGAAGTGGTTGATTTCCTGTGGGAAACCATAACACGGTTTATCAGTGCAAAAGTTACAAAGTTCCTCGAAGATTTGAAGATAAAGAGGATCACATTTTCCCCTTATCATCCGAGCGCAAACGGCCAAGCGGAGTCAACAAACAAAGTGATTATTCAAAACCTCAAGAAAAGGTTGGAAGCGGCAAAAGGCAATTGGCCCAAAGAATTGCCCGTAGTCCTATGGGCCTACCGAATAATGGCCAAATCAAGTACAGGAGAAACTCCTTTTTCCTTTGTGTACGGTGCTGAAGCCCTAATCCCGGTGGAAGTAGGTGAACCTATTTGAGATATTTTCTGGCAGATGAAGAATCGAATAACGAGTCGATGTTAATCAACTCGGAACTGCTCGAGGAATGTAGGGACTTGGCGCATGTAAGAATGGTAGCTAAAAAGCAGAGAATGGAGCAATATTATAACCGAAGAGCCAACTTCCGTTATCTCAAAGTAGGAGACTTGGTTCTGAGGAAAGTAACCTAAAACACCCGAGAGCTCAACGTGGGGAAGCTAGGTCTAACGTGGGAAGGTCCCTACTGGATTTAAGCTATCACTGGGAAATGATCATACGAGTTGGAGAACCAGAATGGAGACAAGTTTCCTAGCAACTGGAACGTGGCACGCCTCAAAAGATATTATTGTTGATGAACATTATTCAAGCGGAAAGTATGTGCTAAACTCTTTTTCCCTTCATTCAGTTTTTGTCCAAATTGGGTTTTTCTGGCAAGCTTTTTAACGAGGCAGCAACAGAAAGCATACTACAAAGACAACAACAATAAGACCTTTGATAGCAAGGAAAACAAGCAAGCTTACACTTGGGGACGGTTAGATAATCTTTGGTTCGATAGCAAATTCCCACTGGGAAGTTAATTTTGCTACAGAACAAAGGTTACCCAACCGTTCACAAGCACAAACCACTAGAGGGTTGTTAGATATTCCTTCGCTCGATAGCATAAATTTCAGAGGGGAAGTAAAATTGTGTTACCAAGTTGAGGATTATCTAGCAATTCATTAGTGGAATTTCCGAAGATACAAGACTTCCAGTGTTCCAATTTGCATTCTTCGCATTCGAACACTAGGGGAATGATATGAGGATACTGCAACAATGACTGCCACGTCAATCAGGGAACGTAAATTCAAAAACTAAACGCATGATCGGGATCGGAGACTGTGCAGTCAGCCCCGTAGAAATAAGTTGTACAAGATAGCCATAAGTAATGGTAATTTCTTTTCAGCATAGCAAATGCTTATGTATTTTTTGAAAATAGAAGGAATAAAATGAAATCCTTTTATTTTTATCTTGTTTCTTGTCTGAACGATATATAAACTTTGTCATTTGAAAGTTAAACAAGTACTTTAAATGTTAGTGCCGTAATGAACAGGAGACGTACTCTTCAAGATCACCGTAAACATAAGAGGGCCCTCTTTTATAAAAACTCTCACGTTAAAGGGTTGGTTCCGGAAGAATCTATGCCCGGAATCAAAAATGCCTTCGGGGGAAAATACACCCGAAGCCACATATGAAAAGAATACAAAAAGTAAACTTGCGCAAATACTTATAGAAACCCTCACATAAAAGGGATAATGCTCGAAACAAAGTGCTTCGAGGAAAACACATTTGAGACCACACATAGTATAGCACGAACAGGAAAACGTGCGCTGAATTCTTGAGCAAATGCAAAGATTAAAGACTTGCATGGATATTCAAACGAAAGTAAGACTTAAACGATACTAAAGCAAAAATATGTCTTTATTTACAAGAACATGCCAAACGGTAAAAGTTTAAAATGGGAAAAGGAAAATAAAAGATACACTTCAGCGCCTCCGGAACCAGGAGGAAGAGAAGTGTTCGCATTCAAACTTTAGCGCCTCCCCGGTTTGGTCTTCAGTATCGTCACCTTCCGATCCCTTTTCAGTTTTCGTTAATTCTGAACTGGAACCAGAAGAACCAGGAACATCAGACTATGCCGGGAGTCCATTTTTAGCAGCTAACTCGAGCTCTCGGGCCTTAGAAATTTCGGCATCAAAGTCGATGATACCAGCTTTGGCCTCCTCCAAGGTTTTTCTCCTCATGATGTACATGGCGTAAGTTTTTTCAACAAAGAGGGAAGACGCTCGGCACTTAAGTTCTTCTTTGAGTCGGGTAACCTCGGTAGAAAGGCTTTCCTAAGCTGACCTAGCAGATTTGAGGTTGACGTCAAGGTCGCGGACAGTTGAACTAAAGAGCCTATTATGCTTGATAGTTTTCTTGTACTTCTCTTCTAGCTGGGCGTGTTTCTCCCCCACAGCAGCAAGCTCTTCGATTTTGGAGTTCAAGGCTGCTTCTAAGTTAGTTACTTTTTCGGCAGTAGCAGCCTCGCGCTTGGTTGCAGCAAGAACGACGTCCTGGACTTTAGCCCATTTGGCCTTAGCCTCATCAAATCTAACCCTCAGCGGGCCAATTTCTTAGCTAAGGGTTACCACTTCTTGCTCGCTTTGCTGTAAGCAAGCCTCCAAAACAACGGCCTCAGTAGCTTTGCTTTCCAGTTCCGAGGGGCGGAGAACAATTTGGTCTCGTTCCCCCAAAAGTTGATTCCGTTCGGAAGTAAGTTCTTCCTTTTCACGAATCAACCTTTGAAGGCCCTCAGAAGCAAGAAAGTTGGCCTATAAAACAAAAAGAAGTAAAACTTAGAATACATTCATACAAAAGTAGAAGAAGTAATGAAGGAAGAAAAGAACGTACCATTGCGGCGTTGTGCATGACATTATTCAACAAGCACTCTCCCGAGAGTGCCTGAATCTTTTCCTAGTCTTTTTCTGAAGCCAAAAGCTTCAGATAATTATCAAGCTCCACCGGCCGGGATAGCAAGTTGCATCCGATAGAGACCGAAAGAGTAACGTTCCTCCTCCTTTGTGGATCTTCAGAAGGGGCAGCATAACTTTGCCCCATGTTGATACCCAATTTTTCTCTCATATTTTAAATACATATATATACACTTTCAAAATAGTGCATATCCATCATCATTAGATTTATAAGCATACACAAGTATTTTTCATAATTTTTCATGATTTTTAAAGACTTTAAACCAATTTATTTCTGCATTTTTATTGTAAAAATATCCAATAATTATCCTCCAAATTATTTTATGATGATTTAATCATCTAAACTTATCATTTATACCAGCATAAGGTTTTAAATATTTTTCAGTGCATTTCTTATAACTACATTTGTATTTTTAAGGCTAAATTGCATATTTTGCAATAATAGCCCACATGCATATATAATTACATTATTTATGCAGAAAATGACTTTTTATATTTTTATAATGTTAAATAGTTATTTTTAATCACTTTAGTGCATAAATTATATTTTCAATATTTATTAATTATTTTTATAAATTATTTATTTATTAAACATTGGGTATTTAAAATTTGGCCCAAACCTTACCTATTTTCGGACCTAGACCACCCAGTCCCAGCCCAATANATATTTATTAATTACTTTTATAAATTATTTATTTATTAAACATTGGGTATTTAAAATTTGGCCCAAACCTTACCTATTTTCGGACCTAGACCACCCAGTCCCAGCCCAATAACATTTAAGCCCAAACCAAATAACCCCTAACCCGACCCAAAACTCCCAGCCAATCGTGGCCGTTGATCTCTGAGATCAACGACTCATATTACCCCTTCCCTTTTAATTACCCAAACACTCCCCTAACCTTAAATCACTTTCACCACCCGCCGCCTTTGAACTCTCTCACCCCTCCCCCTAGCCATCTTCTCCCCCAAATCCCTCTCTTAATCCGACCAGACATGGGATTATACGGCCATTTCTTGCCATATACGACTCTTCCCTGGTACCGGATCCTTCTCTATACCACTTGCCTAAACATGGAAAGCGTATCTCATCAGAATAGAACCAAAGTTGGTTCAACTTCTTAACCTTTGTACTATTCCGTCTATGTTCATTCTTGTTCTATTATGGGTATGAATCTCCGTGTATCTCTGTTGATTCTTACTTACCCTAAAAATTAGGGTTTCTGATCTCTTTATATCGAACCAAAATTGGTTTGATTCTTTGATTTTAAGCGATGTTTCTGTCTATATTCATCTTATTTTGTGCAACGTTTGATTTTTTATTTTTAGATTCTGCCGATTTTTGTACTTTCCCTAAAACTAGGTTTTTGAAATTTCTCTCTTTTCCTTACTGATTTCGATTGCATGTGATGTTCTTTCCTTTCTAGTATTTGATTGATGATTTTTCTTGTTTGGGTGTTCGGTTTCTACTGCTATATAAACCCCTCCATATTCCCCTTTGGGAGGAGAGGAATCATTAAGAAATACTAAAAAGAAATTAAAGCTGCGTGTTCTTTGTTCTCTAATACTCTTACTCTATATTCTGGTTCCTGGCCGGCTAAAAGCAAAGGCAAGAAATTCTAGGTTCTTGCTCTTTGTTGATATTCGTAACACTGTGGACTTCCGTTCTTTCTTGTTCTTCGCCTAACTGGTGAGTTACCAAACCTTTATCATTTCATTCCTATTTACCTGTCATCAGCATATGTTTTCACTTCTGAAGATTGTGGGTCAATGCGTTTCTGGGCTGTTCTCGTGTGCAATTCTGACTGACTTACTTCAATTTTAGGCCTTTCTAATCTTAATTCCATTATGTTTGTAGTTTGAGACATGCTTAGACCTGATTTGAGCTAATTAATTTCTTTTTAAGTCTGCCTAGCCTATGTGTTACTGATGTTTAGAACCTTTGCACTTTAGCTATCTCTTTAGTGTTTAAATTTGCTATTAACCCAGTTACTTGAACATGCTTTCATATCCCCTTTTATGAATTAGATGACTAAGCATGAATGTATTTACTAAGTGTCTAGCATAAGTCTGTTTCTGAATTTGTTGTGATGACATGTAGCATGTTTGATCCTGTATGCTTCTACCATATCTTGACTTCCCAATAGTTGCCTTAATTTGTTCTCATTCTGTTAAGTTCTGTTGCCAATTGATATGATCCCTTCTTGGGACACTAGCATCTATACTTAGCATAATCTGAACCTTTTTCTTACTATAAGTCTGTGTACATCAATCTTGCAAACTTGTCTTGTTAGTATATGCATTATGTGTTGAACTTATTTTTCTGAAACTTTGTTAAGTCTGTTCTCAAAACCTAAGCATGTTCTACTACCTGTTCTATGTGCTCAACTTGAATCTGCTTGTATCTCTCAATGTTGTCCCTTAACCTTAGTCTATTCCCTTACCGCCTGGTCTCTTTTGAGTTCTTATTCTTAGCCGGCTGAAAGCCAAGGCTACTTAGGTTCTACCATTTGACCTCCCTAGTATAAGCACTGCACGGGGTCCAATTGAGACCCTTGTGAACTCTGACACACTAGGATTTGGTCCTTAGTCTTTTTCTGAATTTCCCTATCAACCTCCCTAGTGTGAGCACTGCTCGGAGTCCAATTGAGACCCTTGAGAACTCTGACACACTAGGATTTGATTCTTAGTCTTTCTCTGAATTTCCCCTATCAACCTCCCTAGTGTGAGCACTGCCCTGGGTTCTTAAAGCCCTTGGGAACTCTGACACACTAGGGTCTTGGTTCTATTTGCTCAACTCTATTTTCTACCTACTGGATGAATCAATTGGTTTCTGGCTGCCTTATGTCAATGAAGATGTAATTTCTGGGCTGTTGTGAACCATGGGAATGAAGGCCTGGCCTGGCTGGGTATATCTTTGGGCCTGCTGTAGGCTCACTATAGTTATTTTATTCTATAATTTATGCCATTCATTGGGTCTATAATAATGTTGTAATAACAATTAGGGGTATTAGTAAAACTGAGAAAAGGGGGTTTATCTTAATACTTGTAGTGAAATGTGTAGAGATCCTGCCTATAGGTGCTCTACTTTGCTCAAATGTGTTATTATTCTCAAACGTGTTCAGTTATTATGCGTTAGAAATCCTACCTATAGGTTCTCTACTTTGCTCAAATGTGTTCTGCTTTTACCCGTTAGAAACCATGCCTATAGGATATTAAATGACCAATATCTCAATGTGCACATGCATTAGGCTGTATAGGATCTTGTTAATTTACAACTTTACAATATTCAAGCATGTGTATGTATGTGGGAATATATCTGTACTTGTAATTAGAAACACGGGTTTCAGAAACTTACCAATGGGTCGAATGGCTTCCCAACTGTCACCACAGTCTCAACACCAAGAGATCCAAGGATTTCCCCAAATTTTTTAGAAATGCTCTGATAACTATTATTAATTTTCTCTTCTCCCTCTGTTGCCACCTTGATTTGCATTTTCGCCCTCTCAAAATTGTCCAGAATAGATAGAAGTTTCTCGACAACTTCCCCTTGTGCATTCTTCACAAGAGAAAGTCTTTCTCTCTCTGTTCTCTTACGGAAATTGTCGAAGTCAGCGCTGATTCTAAGAACCCGGTCCCTCTCACTTGACAGTTCTTCGGTCAATGAGGCTACTTTTCTCTGAAGTTCAATTTTCTCTTCTTCTATGGACTTGAGGGAAATTTCTATCTCTGCAACTTTTGAATCGTCATTATTTGCTAAAGCATCTCTGTACAACTGCAATAAAGTTGCAATGAATGATGCAGTTTCATCTGCAGCTGCATTGTCACCCTCATCCGAAGCATCTTCAGCAGCAGCGCCATCTACATTCTCCTGTTCAATGGTAGGGAAACACACATTAATTTCAGTACAGTTTCAAAATTCAAAGACTTAGAACTACAGTACGTCAAGTTTTAAGTTAAAAGGTAAACCACAATAGCCCTCATCAGCATACTCAAAAGTCAAAACATTGCATGCCCACAAAAGGATATAAAAGGATGAAGAAAAAAACTAATAAAAATATTAAACACATTATGTTCTTTCATTTGTATAAACCCGCATAGATATGCCTGCCATGCGGAAAAAGATATACATCTAACAAAACCTAGTACATGCTGGAATAAAACTACTGTCTTTTATCACTCCGTCCAAGGAAAAGAACACCCGGTAAGGAAAAGGGGACAACTATAGACTTATATTAAATACCGAATACACACTCTTAATGAACTCTGCCTATACGAGCTGCGAATAGCCGGTAAACCCTGATAGAGGAGGGGGGATTGCAGAAGGTTACCAACCAGCATCAAAAATTATAACATTCCTGGCATGAAATTACATGTAACTAATATGTGGGATAGGACGGCTGGTTGCATTAGGGAAGTAGCTAGAGAGGAGAGGTGTTGAGGGTCTCGAGGGGTAACTTTGGTGGATATCGAGGTGATTGGTGGTGGAATGGGGAGGTAAAGCGGAAAGTGGAAGCCAAGAAGGTTGCTTATGCAAAGTTAGTGGAAAGCAAAAATGAGGAGGACAAGAGGACGAATAGGGAGAGGTATAAGACGGCGAAGAAGGAGGTGAAGTTAGCGGTCATATCGACGAAAACGGTAGCGTTTGAACAATAGTAGGAAGAACTTGAAGACAAAGGCGGGGATAAAAAGTTGTACAGTCTAGCCAAGGCGAGAGAGACGACGGCGAGAGACCTAGACCTGGTGAAGTGCATCAACGACGAGGATGGCAACATATTGGTGGAAAAGGCACACATTAGACATAGATGGCAAACATACTTCCATAAACTCTTGAATGAAGAGGGGACAGAAATATTATGCTGGGTGATTTGGAGCATCCGAGAGTCATCCTGATTTTGGGTACGATAGGTGTATAAAAGTGAGGAGGTTGAGGAGGCTATGCGTAAGATGAGTAGGAGAAGAGCGATAGGGCCAGACGAGATCCCGATGGAAATTTGGAAGAGTGCGGGCAAGGCAGGTTTAGTGTGGCTAACTGGTTGTTTAATTTTTATTTTTAGGACAACAAAAATTCCTGATGGATAGAGGTAGAGTACAATAATTCTGCTATACAAGAACAAGGGTGATATTCAATATCGCAACAACTATAGGGGTATCAAACTGCTAAGCTACACTATAAAAGTTTGGGAGAGGGTGGTGGAGAAGAGGGTGAGGAGGATTGTGTCTATTTTCGAGAACTAGTTAGGATTCATGCCGGGGTGTTCGACTATTGAAGCCATTCATCTAGTTAGTAGATTGGTGGAGCAGTATAAGGAGAGAAAAAGGGACGTACATATGGTGTTTGGTGGCCTAGAAAAAGTACACAACAAAGTCCCAAAAGAGGTTTCATGGAGATATACATGTAGCATACACTAGGGTGATTAAGGACATGTATGATGCAGCCAAGGCCCATGTATGGATGGTGGGAGGAGACTCGGACACTTCCCAGTCATGATGGGGTTCCACTCGGGATCAACTCTTAGCCCATTTTTATTTACATTGGTGATGGATGAATTAACGCGACACATCTAGGGGGGTGCCATGGTGCATGTTATTTGCGGATGATATAGTACTGATTGACGAGTAGCGGTGCGGAGTTAACGATAGGCTGGATGTTTGGAGACAAACCCTGGAGTCTAATGGTTTCAGGTTGAGCAGGATTAAAACTGAATACTTGGAGTGCAAGTTCCTTGATGTAACATATGAGGCTGACGTGAAAGTGGGGCATGATATACTTGTCATCCCAAGAAGGAAAATTTCAAGTATCTTGGGTCGATAACCCAAGGTAATGGGGAGATCGATGATGCTTTCACACATCATATTGGAGCAGGATGGATGAAATTGAGACTCGCAGCCGGTGTTTTATGTGATAAGAGTGTGCAACCAAGACTTAAAAAGCAAGTTCTACAGAGTAGTTGTTAGACCAACTATGTTGTATTGGGGCGAAGTGTTGGCCGGTCAAGAACTCTCATGTCCAGAAGATAGATAAAAGTAGCAGAAATGAGGATGCTAAGATGGATGTGTGGGCATGCTAGGAGAGATATGATTAGGAATGAAGATATTCGGGACAAGGTAGAGTGGCCTCCGTGGCAGACAACAAGCGAGAAAGAAGGCCTGAGATGGTTTGGGTATGCGAAAAAGAGATGCACAGATGCCCCAGGGAGAAGGTGTGAGAGGTCTGCAATGGTGGGTATAAGGAGAGGTAGAGGTAGACAGAAAAAGTATTGGGGAGAGGTGATCAGACAGGACATAGCATATCTTGAGCTTACCGAGCACATAACCCTTGATAGGAGGGGTGAAGGTCGAGAATTAGGGTAGAAGGTTAGTAAGTAGTTGAGCGTATTTCTTTTCCATACCAGTATGTATTAATGTTATTCTCGTATTTTCTTATTCTTAATATCTATTACTACATGTTTCTTTTGCTTCGGTTATCTTATTATCTTGATGTTGTTACTGCACTATTTTTTATGGCTTCTCCACTTCCTTATTTCTTTTTCATAACTACTGTGATTATGCTTTCCTTGAGCCGAGGGTCTATCGAAAATAGCCTCTCTACACTACCCTCCCTAGATCCCACTTGTGGATTACACGATTTATGTTGTTGTTGTTGTTGTTTAGTATAATGTTTGTTTGCAACATAAACTCTTGCATTACAAATGTAATCTTTGCATAACTAATACAATGTCTGATTTCCAGTTTAAGGCTCAACATAACTACTACAACGATTGATTTCTGGCATTAAACTCTTGACTAATGATACTGGTATAACTTATGTGAGAATCCATGTATTATTTTATGCGTAATAAAATGTAACATAGGAAAAGGTATACTAGCAATTCCAAGAAAAAAGTATCTAAAGACAAAATGTTCTTAGAGTAGGCATTCCATGCATAAAAATCTTTATTTTTATTCACTAGATTTAGACGTGAATCAAAGGACCCGTTATTGAGTTATGCAGCTACTGTAAGATAAATATGCAAGTTCACCATTTGAAGGATGTGGAGAAGTAAAGATGGCATCTCACATGGAATGTTGCAAATAGAGGTAACGTCATAAAAAGACATCTCAATTGCTTTGCATAATCACCTAATAATTAGTGCTCTTAACGCACCTAGGCCAGAGATCAAACCCAACTTCACTGATTGTTTTCTAGCCAGCAACATGAAGATTTTACTCTATGTAAAATGTTATACTTTTCCAGATTATCTAGAAATTCGTTGTTTTTAATGGATATACCTAATCTGCAATTTAGATACCATGCCAATAGGATCTAAAATCAGTCTTAATTATGACTATAGAAATCCTGCCTATAGGGTCTAAAACCAGTCTTAATTATTATCCTGCTCGTTTCTTTCAAGTGCTAATGTTGAACTTCCAACATTGTTTCGTTGCCACTATTAGAAAGAATGCCTATAGGATCAAACTAAGTAATTCTGAATATCTTTTGTGGTTATCACTGCCAACTATTGCGTAAATCACCTAGATAACATATCTATAGGTTTAATCGTTTGCAACACGTAATTAGTAGGCAAATATGTAGTCACTTAGAAATTGTATCTAAGGTAGCATCTTGCATCTGAAACTGCCTGCATGTTCGAATCCCAAGGTCACATAGAAGCCATGTCTATAGGGCCTAATGGATTTAATTTGCCTCAATCCTGAAATTGTCTAACGCTTAATGTGAAAAATTTGTTCGCGTGCATTTGTTGTCTAAGTGTGGAGGTTAACTTAAGCCCTTATTTGCTTTTACATGAAGTCCAACTTATTTTGTATGTCGCCTAGTTTTATCATTTCTGAGCAGCCTAAGCTAAGTCTAGAAACCATCCAAAATAGAGGTCCAAACGCCTCCTGGGCCATAGGCATGGGACGGGTAGTGCACGCATAGGGCACGGTTTAGAATCAACTAGTGTGCTTTAGGTAAAAACTTAAAGATAGTAATCGGGTAATAGGAGATGATAGTCTGTGCCCGCTGAATAATACGAGTAACACCCCACCTCGAGGGAGTTATGAAGTATTATTTATGTTGCACGGGGTGATCCTTTAGGCTAAAAAACTTAGGACCCCATCTTATCTTTAAACCAATTATGTGTGTTTACTCAAGGACTTTCTAATAATGATTTTTTAAAACTTATTGTTTTTCTCTCTGACTATTTGACTAATTTATATAATTCAAGTTCGGCCGGGACCCACAGTTGTGGACCTCGAAGAGTGCCTAACACCTTCTCTTCGAGGTAATTTGAGCTCTTACCCGATCTTTGGTGACGCAAACTGGTTAAACAAGAGTTATTTACAAATAGGTGACCTAACGCACCTCATACCCGTTAGGTGGAGACTCTCTCTCTTTTAACACCCTTCCTTTAAAAGAGTCATCACGTGTCGCAGACCAATTTTGCGAGAAAGAAGGGGCGACAGCATGACGACTATGCTGGGATATTTTTAGGCTCTTACCATAGAGAACTTGGTCTATATGAATTAGTCTTCTTTGATGAATGTGTTTCCTTGTTCTTTATCGTTACATGAACATCCCGCTTCCATTTTCCCTTTTTATGGCTACATGCACACCCTTTCCCCTATCTCCCTCTATTTTGAATTTGTATTAATATGCAAATCTTTGCTTAATTTGGTTACAATATGCGTTTTTCTTTATTTTCTAGTCATGTTCACTTGCTCCGAATCTTTTTTAAATTTGCTACATCATGTCTCTCCTTACCCTTACCCCCTTGCTTGCTTTATTGCAATACTTTCACATTGCGCGAACTAATTTCTTCCTTGTTTTCCTTTCTTTTTATGTCTTTACGCTCCATTTAATACTGTGTTTATTGTCTTCATCATGCGAAATACTTGACAACGTGTTGTTTTATCTTTACATAAAGTATGATCCACATCATATTCCACTCGTGCGTAATTAATACCATAGCGGCGCTTGATGAGTATCCGCGCTCTTCCTA